TCTGCTGCTCATAAAAACTTTAGCCCTGACAGACCCCCCCCAAAAAAGTCTCTTCAGATCAAAATTCACACAATCCTTTAAAATGACAGTTCCATCCACACGTCATGTCACAGGAACTTGAGTGGGCACTGAGGAGCCCACAGCTGGAGTGTCATCTCCTCCAGATCCAACTGGGAAGTCTCAGTCCAGAGGAAGGTCAGGGCTGGCTCCTCAGCAGATGACTCAGGGAGGCTTAGCTGGGACCAGCAGGGGGATTCATGGAATGCACCGATTCCATCTCAGGTAGGGAAACCACAACTTCTGGAGTCTCTCCTACATCACGAAGACAAGTTTGAAGCAGGTTCTGATGAAGCAACAGGGCTGCAGCACACGGACACACGGATAAAGTTGGACTGGATTAAAAAAAAAAAATCCCCTTTTTCCTAGGGAGACCTCTCCCAAGTGTCCTCATACCCGTGGAATTTGAGCGCCTTCCAGGAGCGCATTAATCACCGCGGCTTCCATTTGTCACGCCGGGGTCCTTCACCCGCCCTCAGGGGCTCCTTTGACCCGGGGAATTTGGTTTATCTGCTGATGTAGGGAGAGAAATATTAATAAAAGCTTGACTTTCAAACCCTGTTCGTGTGAAAAGAGTCAAGCCTTTCCCATTTCCAGAGGCTGGGAAGAATTCCCGCCCCGAGCCGACGACGGTCGCCCGATGACTTCACGGTCGCCCGGCTCGTAAGTGCAGCAGGAAGGAAACAATATATTAAGATCTGCTTTACTGGATTAAAAGCTTGATCTGCACTAATGAACAGCCAGCCAGGAAGTCATGTCTTCATCAGGGAATGGTTTCAGGAAAAGGGAATTATAAACCAGGATGCGCTCCCAGAAAAAAATGGATGGAGTTATGGGAGGTCTGATCAAAGATCTATAAAGTCTATAATTCATCTCATTTTAGATGAGCATGGAAGGGGGTTGGAATTAGATGGTCTTTAAGGCCCCTTCCAGTCCAAATCTCCTGGAATTCTAGAAGAGGAAGTGATTTCCTCACCTGCTGTTCCACAGGGAAAATCCTTCCCTGTCTCCTTCTCTTCCAAGTCGTCCCATTGTGTTCTCCTACAAATTTACCACTGGAATTCCTTCTGGGAAGAGTCCTCCAGCAGCCACCACACTGGACCAGGCCACATCTAGGCAGATGTCTGGTAACATGATTAAATTCTGAGAGGAACTTCCTTTTCCAAGGAAATCGGGCACTCCAGCTCTAATTTTACATCCTCATTCCAAAAGATTTCCAAGGAATTCTTTCTCGTTACCAGCAATAAGAGAACGTGTCCCAAACATCCACTCAAGCCCCAGCAGTGCCTGATGTGAGAAGGGTTCTCCATGGAAAGGATTCCAAAAATATCTAAACCAACTGGAGAGTGGTTCTCTATGGAAAGGATTCCAAAAGTATCCAAACCAATTGGAGAGTGGTTCTCCATGGAAAGGATTCCAAAAATATCCAAACCAATTGGAGAGTGGTTCTCCCTAGGAAGGACTCCAAAAATATCCAAACCCATTGGAGAATGGTCTCCATGAAAAGGATTCCCAGAAACATCCAAACCCACTGGAGACTGGTTCTCCATAGGAAGGATTCCAAAAATATCCAAACCAAATGGAGAGTGGTTCTCCCTAGGGAGGATTCCAAAAACATCCAAACAAATTTGAGTGGTTCTCCATAGGAAGGACTCTAAAAACACCCACCAAAAACCAGAGGACTGACCATGTTACTCCAAAAGGATCAGGACTGAGTCCCTCAGGATGGAATTTACAGCACAACAGGGAGAACTCGTGGAAATGGTCATGGAAGAGGAAGTGGAAGATGCTCCAGAAGGGCAAAAAAAAGCCTCTTATTTTAAAGTTTCAAAGCACAAGGTGGATTTTTCATACCTCTTTTCCAGTTCCTTGTTTGTCCACCTCATCCATGAGATTTCCCACCTCCAGGTGAGGTTGTGGACACACACCAATCACTGTGAAGGGAGTTGCTGATCCAAGAACATTCCTGACTACTTAAGAGCAAAAATCTGTTCCTGCAGGGGTCAAAAAAAAATCATTCTGGCCTCACTGAGCCCCCCAAAATTTGCAGAACTTCCCCCAAAAGTCTTTGTGTACAGCGGGTTAAGAAGGGATGACTCCACTCTGGAATCAACACAGGCCAAGCACAATTTCCTGAGTTTTTGGAATGGAGTTTGGAGGGTTGGAAGCAGCAACTCCAAATGTCAACAGTCTCCTTCCCCAGCACTGTAAACACTGGATGCTCTGCATCCAGCACGAGGTTTATCCAATGGCAATGGAATGGGGGTGAGTCACCCTCACCAGAATCCCTGAGGGAGGGAAATCGAGGGAAGGATGGATGATAACACTCCCCCCCACCCCCAATTTTGGGGGAAGATTTCAGCACCCAAAGGGTGATGAAACGAGCCCTGGTCCAGGGGTGGATCCCCATCCCTGGAGGGATTTCAAAGCCCTGTGGATGTGGCACTTGGGGACATGGGTCAGTGGTGGCCTTGGCAGTGCTGGGAATGCTTGGACTCAACCTCAGAAGGCTTTTCCATCATCAAAGCCCTTCAGCTCCCTTGATTTTTTATCATTTCAAAGCTAAAAGCAGAATTAAGCAGCTGAGTGGCCTTAAAGGAGCTCAGAGTGAGGCGAGATCTCATCAGGACTCCAAGACATCCCAATTTCTTGTCCCAGGGAACAAGTCCATCCCTGTAGAAGAGAATCCAGCACCAACAAGTTTCAGCACGTTCTTCAGGAACACGGAAAGCTGCTTTCTAACCCTGGAAGAGACTCCCAAAGGCAAAGCAGCGATCAAGACTGAACCCAAGGAGAAGGGGAAGGAGCAAATTCAAGCTCAAGGCCGGGTTGGACAGGGCTTGGAGCAACCTGG